TAATTGATATGAGCGGCTACGTACTATTGGCCTTGTATGTACAGTATTAACGAAGCACGTGCACGTTGTGTAAGGTGAACCTGGTGTGTAAAGGTATGTAGTGGGGGTTTATACGAAACATGCAAAGATTATGATGTAATATGTGAAGTGAAATGGTTATATACAGCGTGTGATTTATGGTGGCGTTACGGAGACGCTGGGTGTGAATTTAGTGTGATATGGACGCTTGTGGCATGGGATATGTCCTACGTGTAGGTATAGTCCTCGACAGGTGAGGATCTCAACAGCTGTTAGCCTTTACACACCTGTTGGTTAATCAGGTGACTCACACTTCAGAAATATGAGAATGCTTAAGGTCACTGTATCGGGGTTTGGTGTGTGGTCCAAGAGGTGCGAGCATAGATTTTTGTGTGTATATATATATCTCGTTTTGTGTATGTGTATTTTGTTGTGATTACACGTGTACATGTCTTGTCGGTTTAAAAGTTTGTGTGAAATTACATGTGAGCATGTTATACGTACCTATGTTTATGTACATGTATGTATAATAATAATAACAATAATAATAATTAACGGTTTATTAAGATAACATGGCAGCCAGAAGGCTGAAAATATACAATAAACAGAGATAATAAGTTACATATGGTGAAATTGGGGAGTGGATCGCTTGATTGACAAAAGCTTTTACGATAAAAAGATAAGAAATATAGTCAACATATAGATTAACTAAAGATCTGGTACTGTGGGAGCTGGTCTTGTAAACAGTCTTGTGGGAGACCTTAGCTTTCGTCTTTATTCAAGACATCTTCAGAGGCAACTGAATTTACAGGGGTTGAGAGAGGCTTATATTCATAGGGTGACCTTACGAAACATCAAGCCAGGTCAATGACATGAGATCCACTAATCCACACACCACCACCACCATCACCGCAAACAGAAGAGGAGCTTATGAAAATGGGTGACGTAACTAGTCATGCCAAGTCAGGTAAAAAATATGAGACCCACCAATCATCTAACCTACATCTACCTCAAATGCTTTCAAGGCATTTTTAACCTTGGGCCACTAACAAATAAATTTATGTAACATTTTATCAGTTTTGTATTGACCATAACTTAGGTTTATAGAATTCATTTCCCTAATCAAAGTGCACTGATTTCAGATGCTGTTCTAATATTATACTTGCGCTGTTTTATTCTAAGTTACAATGCTTTCCCAGTCTGACCTACATAATTTCCATTATAATTGCTATATGGAATGCAATAAACACTTCCATTTACATTCCAGGTTGGGCTGTTCTTAATTAACATACTAGTAATAGTTGAGACATACTTAAAAATAACATTAATTTTTAGTAATTTAAAGGATTGAACTAACAGGACAAATTCATTGCGATAAGGTAGTCAAAATATTCTTAAATGTAGGAACTTGTCTAGTATGAGTGCAATAGACTTATTTTTGGCCCTTTTAAGACAACAATCAACAAACCTGAAGGGTAGCCAAGTTTTTGTGCAATGAACTAAATGTGTTGCAGTTCTTCTTCAATAAATTCAGTCACAAATACGCAAACATCTAAAAAAACACAGCAGAAAAAAGCTGACATTTTGGCAGACTCTAGATGACTCAATAAAAAATGTATGAAACTGACTACCTGTGCAGGCTTTCTGTACGCCTTAAATTTATAGGTGTGACCATTTCTCATAATAAGCACATCAAGAAATGGAAGGGATCCATTTATTTATCTTTCAATTTTGAAGGTAATACTAGGGACAAGATCATTAAGCTTGTCTAAAAATTCCAGCGGGTCCCTGTTTTTAAGCCAAAGACAAGAACATCATCTACATATCTATACCATGGAGGAATAAAATCACTTATGTTGGGTAGTAATTTAGCCTAAAAAAACCTCAATATAAATACAGGCTAAAGGAGCAGAAAGACAATTACCCATACCAAATATTTGTTTGTAAGACTTTCCATTTGCCCTAAAAACATTATCAGTAACGCATAACTCTATCAATTTGAGAAATATATCATGCTCAATAGTCAAATCTAACAGATGCAATTTATCTTTAAGGAATAAAAGTAGGTCATTCACTGGTACTCTCGTGAAAAGTGAATTTACATCAAAGCTTATTAATTTACATGGTTCATTGTGTTTCTCGAGTTTATCAATTAAATAAATGCTGTTATGTATATGTGAATGAGATATCTGGACTGTAAGAGGGGATAGCATCCTAACCAACCACTTGGATAATTTGTAACAGAACTCACGATAGGACGTAATGGATTATTAGGTTTATGTGTTTTGATCAATCCATACATACTGTATAAGGTAAAGTGAAATTGATTTGAGAGAACTGTTTGATGAGATCTGGGTTCTTTTTCAATAATTCCTTCATTTTAGAATTAGATAACTTATTAATAATTTCCAGGGGATCTTTTCTAAGCTCACAATAAATGCTTTCATCACTTAGTAAGGAATTCATCTTATCATTATAGTCGCTTTTATCCAAAATTACAATAGCATTGGATTTGTCAGCCTTAGTAATATGGATATTCGCATTACTCTTCAAGTTTTTCAAGGCTGTTTAAAATCTTTTTGGAATGTTTGAAACCATTTACCTACGTAAAACACTATGTATACAACCTTCAGCAATGGAAATATCTTCATTTGTAACATCTATCGACTTATTCTTTTCCAGGTTGATTATACCTTTAGCAATAGTAAGTGGATTAACGGTGCGCTGAGCATTACAAAACTTCCTACCTCTTATCCAACTCAGAGAAGGCTTGATTGTCTAGATTTCTTTATCTTCTTGGAAGACAAGACTTGGGGAAAACAAATCATCTCTGCATTCTTTCAAAAACTTCAATTTGTTTTTGAGACAATGAGCTTTCGGCAAACTCTTCTTGTAGTTACGGTAGATGGGGCGAAGATGATGTTGACAGATTAAGGACACGTTTCCATTTTGGATCTACAATTCTACATGAAGTATGTATGTATATATTTAGGCGACTTGTGATTGCGTGTTTGCCCCTGCCCCCTCGATCACCTGTCTTCACTGTTGCTCAGAGATCAACAACTTTCCCTCTTTGTTTTCCCAGTGAGGCTCACACCGTCACGACGAGGGTGCCGTGACCTTGTCTTATGACGTCATCGTCTTCTCATGACGTCATCGCCTTCGTGGCGTCACTGTCTTCTTAGCTGACTTGCAACCGACTGTTTTCTTGTTTGCCATCACCACATGGCCGTGTGCTTTCAGAGCTCTCTTACCTGTGATGTTATGGTGTTGCTGTTTTAATGTATTGAAATAAGACATTAAGAAAATATGTTCAGTTGGAAGAATTTGTGTAAATTTTCCGGATTCGATTTCATCTTTATTATCATGAATTTGCTTTATCGGTATTACTAAATATAGTAAATGTTGTATAATTAAAAATTTTTTGCTTCGCTCAAGTCTAGGGAAGAATCCGACTTTCACTCAGCACTTCATGAAGGATGTTTTACCCAGTAAGGACATTTATGTTTCACACAAATCGACTTTATTGTTGAGGCTGTCTGACTCATGTTTATATAACAGCAGAAACAAAATATATAGGAGCAGAAACAAAATAAAGTAGCAACAACAGCAACAATAGTAGTGGTGGTACTGTCACCAGTAGAAGAAAATCCACAATAAGAGTATCGGAAACAATCCCAGCAATAATTAAGAAACGATACAACCTTGCCCATGATCACGGGTGGTACTGTACTGTAAAATCGTTAACACATACCCATTAAAATGCATATGTAAAATTTGTCGTACGAACCGCTTCCATCATCTACAGGTGATTGTAATGTTTTTTATAATAAATTAGGTGATGGGATGTAAAAAAAAACGTATGTAATGCGCTGTAATAATACTTGGGTTAAGAATTATAAAAAAGGCGTCACTAGAAGCCACAGTGCCGTGTATTACCAGGAAACGCGTCAGGTAAAAGATTAAACGTATGTTTCCAGGAGCGTTGATGCACAGGCGTTATATGCTTTAAAGAGACAATCCTGGGTTTAATATTGGCCGTAGTCAGTGACTTTGATAATAATGGTAATAAGTAGTATGAATGGTATTGTATGTTGGTATGCTTTGTACACCTATAACTGTAGCGATAGTAGTTGTAGTTATCCAGTATGCACACACACACATATACATACATATATATATAATATAATATATACAATACTAATGCTTTTGATATCGAGGGAAGAGTTGAAGCTAGGGAGGCTGTTAGAATCCACTAATACTTTCCTTTTCTCCAAATTCTTCTTATACGTAAACTTCTATTAGGGCATTTCCGAATCTCCATGTGGTGGACGCAAGGCTAGCACGTGCAATAAGTCTTTGTTTGGCAAGTCTGTTGCTACTTGAAATCAGCTTTAAGTGGCAAGAATGCAAATTTTCTGTGTTCATTTACAAATAAAAGTTTTATCATATATAAATTTAGAAAAATGAAGGGTGCATATATTGTTGTAAAACTGTATCAATTTTTTTCGTTTATTTTCATTGTTATTTCTATGACAAGTATTGGAGATGTCACCTTTAAAGGTTCGCTTACGTTATTTTTTCAGTATGCTGCAACTCTTTTCATAAATCTGCGTATAAAGCTTACCGCACTTATAATTAATCTTAAAGCGTGATTTTTAACATCTTATACAAAATACATTAGCATTTTTGAAAAGTGTGGGGAGGGTCGAGGAGTCACTCTGACTGCTCATTGGATGGCCTGGTCACATGACCACACCCGCTACAGTTGCCAGCCTTTGCTTTTTTTATGTCCTCATGCCAATTTTATTACACATTTCATATTTTCTCTGGCAAAACTTTGAGCTTCCGTGAGTTTTATCATCTATGTATAACACGGATGGTCATTTGACTTCAGTAAAATACAAGAAAAGGCAGGACACTTGGTCCTCGATGTGAGCAGGAACGCTGGGAGGAGTGGTATCAGGCTTCCCATCCGGCGCGGTGAACGTTATCATTCTGGGCCTGGATGGTGTAGTGCTAGCACCTACCTCCTCGTCCTTACTGTGCTCTCCAACATTGTATATTATAGTTTACTGCTCTGTGTAATAACCCCCAAGAAAGGGTACGTTACCCTTATAAGGTTAGTGAGTTCAGTGGTTTGCGCGCGCTTTAAATGCTGATTTGATTTTTAAGCTTTACGACTGCCCTTGCTTAGGATTTGAAATATGTAGTTTTCAGGTGTAGTTGCTGGTATACTGTAAACAAGGTCTGGCGACCACACCTTTGCCTCGAAGCGTTGAGTACTCATCAGTCAACTGTCATATTATGTGATGAGTGTTTGGTTGTGGCTTGTATTGATGGCCTATGTTGTATACAGTGTGCCTTATGATCGCATTGGAAATAATATCTGTAATGGAAATATCGACTTTGATAGCTTTAATTTCTTGTACTGACGTGTGGGTGTGTGTGTGGTAGAGCTGCTTTATTACATGGGTGTATTGTGGTAATTTTGTTAGGACTTATGGTGATAGTTGTTTATTACCGTCCCCGTTATGTGTCGTATTGATTTAAAGCTCTTTAATATTTAACGTGTTTAGATCAGAAAACGGTTATTGTGGTAAAAGATGTATTGTGCCTGGTTATTGACGTCAGTATTTTTACAGTGCCGTATCGTTTAAAGGTGTCTGTTACTACGAAGCTGTATAATGTGTTAGTAAAGAGTTCCTGGGAAGTGCAGCTTCCCTCTTAGGCGTTTAAATGTTGATACGTTAAAGGTTCTTAATGTCACCGGTTTAAATATCTTGGTATTTGTATGAATTTATCCAAGCTATTTTGTTGTGGTAGTGTAGTGATGAATTAACATGTCCTTTGACTTGTAAATATTAGTTTATAGCGTTGAAATGTAGATAATTTAACCTTAAGTAACTTTAACCTGTAAAGTTACGTAAGAGTTTAAAACGTGGAAACGCGATACAATAATTTATCAGTAGAGGCGTGAATGTATTATGGTTGAATTGAAAAATATCGTTCTGTTTTTAGAGATTAAATATAAGGACACAAGCACCGAAATATATTAATATAAGGAGTAATAGCATTGGGAAGTAACTAGTGTTTCCAGAGCTGGGATGGGAAATGCTTCGGGACGTTTTTTTTTTTCGCTCTCCACTCAGAGGCGGATCTTGGAAGATAAGTCATCAGCGTATTTTTTTTTGTCGGAGCTGCAGTACCTCGTTTTAAGAAAGATAGCTAAAGTAGGGCTGAGAGATGGGCTGATGAGAGGACTAAAGGGGCTGGGAGAGAAACGGGTGAGAGGACTAAGATAGGGCTGGAAAAAGGGCGGGCGAGAGTTAAAGTAGGGCTGGGAGGGCCTGGTAAGATGCCTTGGAGAGGGAGAACGTCAAGCCTTAACTGTATATTCTAGTAACCTAATTACGACTTCCGTTTCCTGTATGAGCATCGCGTGTCCAGCCTCCTCGACACTCGGCCCTTGTCCTGACCGCCTGGAGAGTACCTTACAATGACAGGCGCGTACACACGGACACTAAGTACATAGACGAGATTCCGAACAAACGTACATGGCTATACTGACAAACGTGTATGTACACGTGGACGCGCACTGTACACCAGGGTTCATAAGTACACAAGGAAACACATGAGTATACAAAAACACAAGTGAACACTAGCACCCTTGGACACACTATAAACAAGAACACATGGATACACAGGCACGCAAAGATACACATGAACACACTCAAGGACAAATAAGTATACTGTATACTCCAGCACACGGGATCACACGTAAACATACATAATCGGCCACGCACGTCAGGTCAACTGGGAACCAACTTACTCCCCATAGGCTTACCAGACCCCCACATACGGGCCCATGGACACGGGGAGTACTCTCGCGCACCAACGTGAAAGTACAGTACGTACAGTAGACGCCTTGACGAGATCCACACACACAGTACTATTGTTGTTCTTTAAGATCTAGTGGTACACTGTACTTACCCAGTTCTCAGAATTAAACTGAATTATGATTGTTTCACACACACACGCACAGCCAAGCACGTTTAAATGCATTGTTTACCATGAGCACCTATCCCGGAAGTATTAAGGAGAGTGTGGAAGCATATTAATCTTTATATTGAGCGTTGATGCTATAACACGAGGACAAATTGCCGAAATAATTTAAACGCGTTGTGAAACCCCCTAAGAACATACTGTATAAATGATTCGCTCTTTTTCTCTTTTTAACTTTGGAGATTGATACAACTAATTATATTTATTCCTTTCAGTAACGTTAGCGATATTTTTTATTTCCTGCGCCGCCCCCATTCCTTGGTAGCTAAAAGGAACATAGTAAATTTTAATGGGAGTTGTTGTCTAAAGGTTGAAGCTGGACATAATTGGGTTTAGTCAATGAAGCACTAAAATATATTTAAACAACTGAGTGTGAGTCAAGGTATAATCGACTATTTGTGTGCTACCTTTGTTTTTCCACCTGGCAGAGAGAGTCCGACCTTGAGTGATGTGTCATGAGGTAAACACGAGCTAAGCGGCGCTCTGGGGCGATGATGAGGAAGGGGCTACAAGAAGCTGTTACCGGTTTTCTGAGGGGTGTAGCGGCTGGCAAGTCTCCGAGGTGTGTAGGGGCTCACAGACGGTGGAGGGGGTGACTCAGGCCACACTTGTTGGAGACCTTGGGTAGGTTCTATTAGTTACGTGGTACACCGTGAATAGGATGACTTAGTGGAGGACTGTAGGTGAGAGTGTGGGACTGTGAGAGTTTAAGAAGCTTATAATGTGTGTATTCCAAGTATGATTGAATTGTCAATAGAAATTATTGTAAAGAAAGTAAAGGTAAAATACATGGAGGGGTAATGTGAGAGCTGTACCGGAGTGAGAGTGTCACCAACAAGAGCCTCTGACACAGGGTCTACGACTTTGGTGGACGTGAACTTGTTTTAAAAGGAGAAGTGAAAGTTATCCTGCCGTGACGTGACTGGTTTTCTGCAGGCTACTTACACCCATTCATGGCAACACCTACATCCATACAGAGTCAGTCATGTCTGCATCACTTGCTGTCATGAGACTCGTGACTAATATAAGTACATGTAATCATAGTTTCACTGATACAGTCATGACTTGACTGATACATATTCATGGATTCACTGATATAGAGTCAAAGCTTCACTGATATATAGTCATGGCTTCACTGATACAGTCATGGCCACACCAACACTTCGCCATGTTCTCACCAGTATACCTGCACACACTTGAGGGCACCTGTACCTATTCAAGGCTACATGTACAGTACATGCTTCATGGTCGTATTCTCAATCATGATGGTTCACATGGCTGCCCACGTAGTTGTATACACATGCGGGGGTGTATGTAAATTTGCCATTATTTTTTACACATTGTTATTGTCTCATATATGCACAGAAAGACCACTGTACACATGTAGTTTTGTCTCTTGTAGAATAAATTGCATATATAGATACAAAAACAGTGAACAGGTACAGGCATACAGTCAAGGCTACGGGCATCCCGATACACACGGGAACGACACGAAACCTTCACACACACATAAGAGTGACGACCACATAAGTACACTCACATTTATGTAAAGATATGTGGACATGTGTTGGTGAGGTACATGTCTCATAATCCTCATATTGTATCCACCACCACAACCTCCCACTTATCATCACCACAATCTCCCACTATCATCACCACAATCTCCCACTATCACCACCACAACCTCCCACTATCACCACCACAACCTCCCACTATCACCACCACAACCTCCTCCCACCATCACCACAACCTCCTCCCACCATCACCACAACCTCCTCCCACCACAATCTCCCACCACCACTTGCGCCACCATACCACCCCATCACAACCTCTAATCCGCCTCCACAACCACAATATACCCCCCCCCCCACATCACACACACACCTGCAAGTCGGGTGATACATATGTATACTATGTACATGGTGTACAGTATATTCCGACAATTCACCTCTTATCAAATACACTCGTATAATGTTTTTCCCGTCTGAGGTGGAATTCACGTCCTGACTCCGTTGTCACCTCTCTCGATGTTAAGACCAACGTCACTTAACACCTACGTAATTTAGTACAGGACTCAGTTTTTCTTCTCATGTGTTCAATTTTTACATGGTACAACAACAAGAACATAAGTGAACAAATAAACCCAGTGAAAATGATCTCAGGGTAAAGAAATAATTAAAAGGAGAACATCAGGCATTCCCTATTTCATCCCTTACCCCCCCCCATCCCCCTCTCTCCCCGCCTCTCCCCATCCCCCTCTCTCCCCATCCCCCGCCCCTCTCCATCCCTCGCCTCTCCCCATCCCCCTCTCTCCCCCTTCCCAGTAACATCAGTGAATGATTTTGTTTCAGTGTTTAAATTCGTAATTGATAAGGAGTCATGTTAAGGGTAAAAGTTAGCACGACACTTGTTTTCTAGAACCAGCGTGTGCGTAGCTTGTCTGTGGTACAAAAAATTCAGCCGAGTTAAGAGAAATATACGAATATTTCTCCCCAAGGCAATATATTTTTTTTACATGTATGATATCAGGTTCAAAGTTGTAAAGGCTGATTTCTTACACACACACACACACACACACACATATTAAAACAAACCTTCTTTATACACACATTCACAAAATTTCGAAGACAATATCGTGCCAACCTAGAGCTCCTGGTACTGTATAACCCTTAAGGTATTGTTATGGAACTTGATAGTTTTTTTTTATCACCACTTAAATTTGTGTTATGTAGAAAATGCATAAATCCACGCTCAAACTTCCCCAATATTCGTCCTTCCTGTGGGACCTCCTGACCTCGTTATTGTTCTGGTGTTCACAAATGCAGTAATATATTTTTTATTCGTCAATGAAAAGGAGGGACTTGTATTAGTAATTTATGTCTTACTGTTCTGCACCCATCATATTTGCATCTCTTATAGATTTTTTAATTAGTTGTTATTTATTAAATTTATTACTGTACCAGACACACGTAGTAGTAGTAGTAGTCGCGGTCTCGCTGTGCTGTGAGCCTTATTAAGGTGGATCCACACGAACACAACGTTGTCGGTAACGTGTGT